TTTTCGGCTGTTTTTCATTCAGCTAATTTTTTGTCTTATAACTCTCATTTTCTTTTCGCTGGCTTGCAGGAAGTTGAAATAACCCGCTTCATCTCTGTCGAGGAATATTTGAAATGTTTCCGGCCTTAAGTCCTTAAATTTACAATTAGTTTTATTAAAAAAATCGCGATTTTTTTTCCAAGTAAGGTTATTTTTGTTTTATTGCCGTCTTTCATTGACAAGTATGTTGAAGTATGTTTTGATGATTTGCCATTTAACTTGTTTTGAAGTTCTATTCCAAGTCATTGGCTGAAAGAAAAGCAAATATTGCTCTGCAGTTGAAAAATTTAAATTTTTTCACAAATGAAAAAATGTGAATCACTGAAATTTCTTGAAACCTTAAGCTTATATAGATTTTTTTCTTTGCCTTGAGCTCATTACGCGTGTATACGCTTTTGTTGTCTTAGAAGTTCATTTTTTTCAACTAAACTAGCAGAAATGTGGTCGGAACGTTTAGGAGGTTCCACGCAAGCAACACAAATAAATAAATCGGTTGTTTAGGTTTACACAAGGAAAGCTTGTGTGATAGCATGAACTCTCTTTTTTTTCGAACCTAAGTCACAAATATTAGTATTAATTTTGAAAGTGTTCTTTTTTTGCAGTAGGTGCATAAGATTAATAACCAGCTATTAAGTACAACCAATGCTAAGGATATTAGGACACTATTATATTACAAACAGCTCTTTAGCTTCAAGGTATCATGAATCTGTAGCGTATAGGCAGTGAAGGAGACCCGCAGCAAAATAAAAGGATTCGAACCTGGGCAGTTTCGGATGTTTTTAATTAGCTTTTCGTATACTAGTTAGAATGCGTGCGCTGTATAAATTGAGGCATATTAGTTGGTAAGTTACTTTTTTTTCTAATTGAATGGGGCTGCTAATGCGTCATAATTGGCTTGCGTCGCTTAGCATTTATATAGGCTCATAATTGGCGTGAGTCACTTATTATATAGACTGAAAGTTTTACTCATTCAGTTTTTCCCAGTGGCGTTATTGGTCACATTTTTGCTTGTGTATGCGAAGTGCAAGTTTGCCTCTGTTATAAATCTTGTTAAAACCTTTTCAGACGTGGCTTAAAACACACTAAATTTCATTTTTTGTTTTATTTATTTTCTTCACTGCAAGAGAATCTAACTAATTAGAATCAGGTTTGCAATTTGTCTGAAGCATGAGTGTCAAGTTACAATTTTTTGAAAAAAATTTCGATGTTTCAACTTGGGCAAACGTATCATTTGTGAAACAACAGAAAGTAGGGGCAGATTTTGAGGGGGGTGTGGTGTCGATTCAGGGATGCGACCCCTCGCCAACCAATGAATACTCAAAGTTATTAAAATACTGGTGGTTGTGGTTTTCGGCTGTTTTTCATTCAGCTAATTTTTTGTCTTATAACTCTCATTTTCTTTTCGCTGGCTTGCAGGAAGTTGAAATAACCCGCTTCATCTCTGTCGAGGAATATTTGAAATGTTTCCGGCCTTAAGTCCTTAAATTTACAATTAGTTTTATAAAAAAATCGCGATTTTTTTTCTAAGTAAGGTTATTTTTGTTTTATTGCCGTCTTTCATTGACAAGTATGTTGAAGTATGTTTTGATGATTTGCCATTTAACTTGTTTTGAAGTTCTATTCCAAGTCATTGGCTGAAAGAAAAGCAAATATTGCTCTGCAGTTGAAAAATTTAAATTTTTTCACAAATGAAAAAATGTGAATCACTGAAATTTCTTGAAACCTTAAGCTTATATAGATTTTTTTCTTTGCCTTGAGCTCATTACGCGTGTATACGCTTTTGTTGTCTTAGAAGTTCATTTTTTTCAACTAAACTAGCAGAAATGTGGTCGGAACGTTTAGGAGGTTCCACGCAAGCAACACAAATAAATAAATCGGTTGTTTAGGTTTACACAAGGAAAGCTTGTGTGATAGCATGAACTCTCTTTTTTTCGAACCTAAGTCACAAATATTAGTATTAATTTTGAAAGTGTTCTTTTTTTGCAGTAGGTGCATAAGATTAATAACCAGCTATTAAGTACAACCAATGCTAAGGATAATAGGACACTATTATATTACAAACAGCTCTTTAGCTTCAAGGTATCATGAATCTGTAGCGTATAGGCAGTGAAGGAGACCCGCAGCAAAATAAAAGGATTCGAACCTGGGCAGTTTCGGATGTTTTTAATTAGCTTTTCGTATACTAGTTAGAATGCGTGCGCTGTATAAATTGAGGCATATTAGTTGGTAAGTTACTTTTTTTTCTAATTGAATGGGGCTGCTAATGCGTCATAATTGGCTCGCGTCGCTTAGCAATTATATAGGCTCATAATTGGCGTGAGTCACTTATTATATAGACTGAAAGTTTTACTCATTCAGTTTTTCCCAGTGGCGTTATTGGTCACATTTTTGCTTGTGTATGCGAAGTGCAAGTTTGCCTCTGTTATAAATCTTGTTAAAGCCTTTTCAGACGTGGCTTAAAACACACTAAATTTCATTTTTTGTTTTATTTATTTTCTTCACTGCAAGAGAATCTAACTAATTAGAATCAGGTTTGCAATTTGTCTGAAGCATGAGTGTCAAGTTACAATTTTTTGAAAAAAATTTCGATGTTTCAACTTGGGCAAACGTATCATTTGTGAAAAACAGAAAGTAGGGGCAGATTTTGAGGGGGGTGTGGTGTCGATTCAGGGATGCGACCCCTCGCCAACCAAAGGGTCCCTCCTTTGGTATCATTTTATGACATCCAATTTAGGTTGACGAACCCGATTTTTTTTCTGAAAGGACGTTCGGCGCCAATATACTCTCGAAGGGCGCGCGTGCCGAAAAAGCAAACTTATTATCAAATTTTTTCAAAGAGTGCCTAAAAATGGTTGGCGTGTTTTTTCCAAAAATGACTTGCGGCGATCAATTTTTGTTCAAAATAGGATCTTTGTAGGGAAGGGCTTGGAAAATCGGCTCTTTTCCAGTCCCCCTTTCAAATTCGATTTCGAAAAGTCTATTTAACGTTGTCATAATGCAATGAAATTTGGCGTGGTGAACAAATCGACAACTTTGAACAGATTTGTTCTTCATACTTTACAGCGTCACATCACGCGTTTAGCCGTAATAACATGTAAAACGAACATAAAACTCGGTATTCTGAAAGGGGGACTGGAAAAGAGCCGGAAAATCAATTTGAAAAAAGGTCGACCAATTTTTCCAAAATTTTCCGTCCCCGAGAAAACTTTAGATCCGCCCCTGATTGAAAATAATTTGGATCTTGTTAACTGTCCCCCCGTTTTTGAACGTTGTTCACTATCCCCCTATGTGCGTATTTTTGACAACTATTTCTGTATAAAATATGCATTTCAAAAATGTCAACAATTAATAGGGTTTTCATTTTCGCGCGTTCGTATTTAAATTACTCAGTATTTATATAATCCATACATACATCCAAAAATTTAATTAAATGTGATATCTGAATTTTTTTCAAACTAGTGATAACTTGGCAGCTAAAATTGAATTTCTGAAAAATCGAAATGGGGAGATAGTTAACAAAGTCCAGTAATTTTTACGAGTTGCAGAGATTGTGCTGTCATTTTTGAAATGAGTATTTCAAGAAAATTTTCATTTTTTAGTCAAACAGCCCGGAGGTTAATTATTTAGGTTGAAATAAGAGCATATATTCAGCGCCCTTTAAGCTATGACTTACTTGCATGAGCTCGCCTTACAAATTGCAGCGCATGAGCGATTTGAACCAGCAATCATATGATTGCTGGACACCATCACTACCGGAGCGCCACAATGCCATTTATAATTTTTTTCTTTTAGTTTTTTCACTTTAGAAGTTGTTCACTTTTCTCGGACAGACTCAGGATGAAGTTTCCAATGAGGGTTGATTTTGACGTTGGTTTGACGTTGAGGTTACACTGCATCCATCGCTGTTGTTCATAGGTTTCTGTCAACCGCGCCCAACTTTAAATCTCAAATACATAGGGTAACTTCCCAAATGGCATAATTCCCAAATGGCATAAAAATGGAAACTTTTCCCAAATGGCATAAATTTCAAGTTTTCATTGTAATTTAAACGTTTTCTATCAATTTCTAACTCTAACATTTTGTCAGGAACGAAAGCATGTGAACAAGATTTGGAATTAATTGCTTCCAAACAAATTTAAACCACAGGTTTGCCGAAAAAATTTGACCACAAGAAGCTTATTAATAACCGCAAGCTTATGCTTCTTGCTTTTGATAAAAAGTTATACAAGTTTTTCACGATAAAATGTCAATCAACATTTGAATTGACAATTTGACTAATTTTCTCACATTGTTCACGAAAAAATTGTTCTCGATTTTTCCAAAGCAACTGTTGCATGAAATTTATGCCATTTGGGAAATATTTCATTTTTATGCCATTTGGGAATTATGCCATTTGAGACGTAATCAATACATAGGATAATGATTTGAGAAGCAATTCTATCAGGTTTCAAGAACTCGATTGGGATTGCTTGTTTCGTGGTAGCTACAAAACAGTAATCAGCTTGCAAACTGCTGCAACTAAGAGTTGATTAAAACGTAAGAGTATTTTTAAAAAGAAACTTGGTATTCAAAATTTGCCGAGTATTAGAAGTCGCATATTAGAAGCTACCGCTGGCATTTTCAAAGTTTCGGCAAATCCGGCCAAAAGATACATATTTTTCCAAATTTGAAAATAAATATTTTTGACAGCTTTGTGGAGTGGGTTGCCTTTCTCTACCTGTACTCCACTTTGGAGGTGAAATTTTTATTATTTATTAAAGAAGTGTTGTCCTGATACTTGCTGCATATGGCATTAGAAGTTGCCCTGAAATTGATTGCAAAAAGTGTTGTCTTGAACAGATACTGACAGCATTGTTAGAATACGTTGATTGCAGCTCCAAATCTTCAACCACCAATTTTTATCAAGTTCATCTAAATGCGATTTCATAGGTCTTCATTAGAAGAACGAGATTTCATTTCAGGTTGATGGTTGGCAATGACTGCCAATGCCAGTGCAACTACGACTGACGGCAATCCCTACTGGGCGCCCGTCAATTTCTCAGACTGGAATGAGACCAAAGCGGGAGGGGTGACATGCTTTGTGCTGTGGTTTTCAGGTTAGAAAATGTCTGTGCCTTCTTGCATTCTCTGGCCAAAGAATCACATTCAGCTTTCGGATCACGGATTAGTGTATAATTTTTCACGCAGGTATAATCATCTGGGTGGTCGCTGGTTGGTGTGTTCTGGCAAAAAGGAAACAGAAATTCATAGAAGAAGAGTTCAAACAGGTCACTTGCTCTTCCTTATTTTCTTCCCGCTTTTATCAATTTATCAGCAGCGAAAGAAGTTATTTTTCAAATCTTATAACCCTTGCGATTAGCATGGATGTTAACAATTCATCAAAAGAAGTTATTTTTCAAATTTTATAACTCTTGCGGTAACCATGGATGTTAACGATTGATCAAAACAAGTTATTTTTCAAATCTTAAAACCCTTGCGATAAGCACGGATGTTAACAATTGATCAAAAGAAATTATTTTTCAAATCTTATAACCTTGCGATAAGCATGGATGTTAACAATTGATCAAAATAAGTTATTTTGCAAATCTCATAACTCTTTCGATAAGCATGGATGTTAACAATTCATCAAAAGAAGTTATTTTTCGAATCTTATAACCCTTTCGATAAGCATGGATGTTAACAATTCATCAAAAGCAGTTATTTTTCAAATCTTATAACCCTTGCGATAAGCATGGATGTTAACAATTGATTGAAAGAAGTTATTATTCAAATATTATAACCCTTGCGATAAGCATGGATGTTAACATGTTAACAATTGATCAAAAGAATTTATTTTTCAAATCTTTTAACCCTTGCGATGAGCATGGATGTTAACAATTGATCAAAATAAGTTATTTTGCAAATCTTATAACCCTTGCGGTAAGCATGGATGTTAACAATTGATCAAAAGAAGTTATTTTGCAAATCGTATAACCCTTGCGATAAGCTTGGATGTTAACGATTGATCAAAACAAGTTGTTTTTCAAATCTTATAAGCCTTGCGATAAGCATGGATGTTAACAATTGATCAAAAAAAGTTATTTTTCAAATCTTATAACCCTTGCGATAAGCATGGATGTTAACAATTGATCAAAATAAGTTATTTTGCAAATCTATCACCCTTGCGATAAGCATGGATGTTAACAATTGATCAAAAGAAGTTATTTTTCAAATCTTATAACCCTTTCGATAAGCATGGATGATAACAATTGATCAAAAGAAGTTATTTTTCAAATCTTTTAACCCTTGCGATAAGCATGGATGTTAACAATTGATCAAAATAAGTTATTTTGCAAATCTTATAACCCTTGCGATAAGCATGGATGTTAACAATTGATTAAAAGAAGTTATTATTCAAATATTATAACCCTTGCGATAGGCATTGATATTAACCATTCATCAAAAGAAGTTATTTTTCAAATCTTATAACCATTGCGATAAGCATGGATTTTAACAATTGATCAAAAGAAGTTATTTTTCAAAGCTTACAACCCTTTCGATAAGCATGGATATTAACCATTCATCAAAAGAAGTTATTTTTCAAATCTTATAACCATTGCGATAAGTATGGATTTTAACAATTGATCAAAGAAGTTTTTTTTTCAAATCTTATAACCTTTGCGATAAGCATGGATGTTAACAATTGATCAAAAGTTATTTTTTAATAATAATCTGTGTTCGAATCTGTCTATAGCCAAAAAGCATATGCAATGCATGCGAATAGGCTACTTTTATAGTTAATACCAAATTTTTGGCAAAATCGGTGACTTTAGCAGGTTAATCGGTCAAAAACGGTAGCATTTTGGGATCAAACTAAAAGGTTAGGTTCAAACTAGTCAGGATACGGGGCTGAACTTTTGACATACTGTTTGAAACCTGTCCTCGAAAACAGCACGAATTGGGCTTAATGTACTGGCATGTGTTCTTTGGGAAACGAATTAACCTAATCTCCACATGCATTGAAAAAACCACAGACAAAGCAGTTGAAAAAGTAACTGGCTCACTATGAGTCTGTGATTCTTGAAATTTTTCACGTTCAAATTTGTTTTTCGCTGTTTATTTTTCGATTTTTTAATTTCGGTTCAACCTTGGCGATTTTAGGGCTACGAAGTGGTCAGTGCCTCAACCGACAACATGTTCGGCTTTTTGCCCATCGGGACGCATTTCGTCTCCAGGAACCAGAGTGTGAGATCACATGTCAAAGTCACTCGCATCAGGTGTTGCAGGTGTCCACACAGACGCCAAGTCATGTTCGATTTGGGAGACGCAAACATGAACGTCCAGTCACGAGTTTGCTCAGTGTTCAATATTGTAATGGCATTGATAATGGGATTCGCATTCGCCTTCTTCGCCCATTTTGTTCCGTGTGTTTGGTGGACGTGTGATTGGGGCTATTATGACGGAGAACAAATTAGAGGCTACATCTGGTTCATAGGGTGGCCCTCTTTCTCTACTTTCTTTTTCATCCTTGGAGCAGTTTGTCAGTACTTGAAAATAGACGTCAGACCAAGTCAAGGCAACCTTGCAACGGAAACAATTTGGGTCTCGATTGGCAATAATCATGTTATTGTTGCGAACAACTATAATTTGAGCAAAATTGACAGCGATGAAAGTTTAAGAATTGTAAATAGTAATGAGAGTAACATTGCGAATGATGCTAAATTAGGAGAAACAGCGAAATCGGAATCACAAACTGTTAATTCCGGATGAATTGAAACTTAATTACCAAAACGAAGCTTGACTTGCTTGTTATATGTATTAATTATGTAATTATCTCATGCTTCTTGTAAATATGTCCAAATGGAACAAAGTTTTTATTTAATTATATAGATTAATCTTGAATTTAGTTGTAAAAATTTTTTTTTCAAGTTGGGATGCAGGTTAAGTATAAAGGAAAGCAGTTTTAATAAACCAGACGAAGTATAATCCAACCAAAAATGCGAGTATATAAACCAGCCGAAAAGTTACATCATAAGAAGGAAATTTGCAAAACTTTCGTATCTGTTACATAATTGTTACATAACTATTATAACTATTATATAGCGCTTACGTATTTTCGGCTGGTTGGTACTTCGGCTGGCTTATACTTCGACTGGTTTATATACCATCAAAGAAAGGGTTTTAACTAGTGATGTTAAAAAGGTAACAGCATTTTTGGTGCGCATTTCAGAAGCTCGAAGTTCATTCAATAACTAATGCACGCGGTCAGGGCCATGGCTGGGCGAACAAAAGCTTGTCAGGGGCGTGAAAGCGTTGAGGCATTTCAGTCTTTATTTTAAAGTCTAACTTCAATTGTTTATTAAGCGTTAACCTGTAATTTTTTCATGGGTATGAGTCGCAAACGTTCAGTCAAGGGAAGATGTAGTTTAATGAAGACTGGCTTCAAGATGGTGAATTTAAATTGTGGATTGCTAAATCAACAACTGAACAGGAGTTCAGATGTGTTCTTTGTAAGAAATCATAGACGCTTTTCTTGCAATTTTGAGACTAAATGTCAAGGCCTGAGCTTCAAAGTTGTCGGGGCAGAGCTAACAGGGTGACAGTTAAATTATACCGCGTGACAAACCTGTGATGTAAAGCGCTTATTTAACTTGGCCTGACTAAGCTAACATAATTGCAAACAAAAATGCGTATTTTTGCAAATTTGATCACTTGAAAACCAAAATTATGGGAACTGCAATCATTCAAAATTTAATAAAAATTGACATGGACTTTTGTTTCCTTTAGTAAATTTTTGGGTCCCTTAAGTAAATCAAAAACTACGCCAAATGTACCGCCTCAACTGATAAGCAATTTAAGTCAAAATGGGCGTCCGATTGCAGTTCAACAATGTTTAAGGGAACTGTTGTCTCCAAAATTTTCCGCAGAACGTGTTCAATTTGTTTTTAATTCAAAATTTCGCTTTTAATGTAATAAAAATGACGTTTTACTATCCAAAAGTATATATATTCACGTATAAATTTCTTAGAGAAACTATATCCATCATTACATACGCATAGCTTGTGTTATAGTATGAACTTTCTTTTTTTTTCCAACCTGAGTCGCAAATATTGTTGCGATACAATTGTTGCGACAAAATGCTGCGCTAGTTCATAAGTTTCTTTTTTTTTCAAATTGACTGGTACTGCTAATGAGTCAAAACTATTTTGCGTCACTTAGCAATTATGCAGACTCATAATTGGCGTGCGTCGCCTATAAAATTTTGTAGACTCGAAGTTTTACGCATTCAGTTTTTCCCAGCAGCGTTATTGGTCATATTTTTGCTTGTGTATGCGAAGTGCAACTTCGCTTCTTTGTAAATTTTGTTGGTCTACATGAAAAGTGTTTTTGATATTCTTTGCTCATCAGTCGCAGGGTACTTTTAGCGTAATTTTTGATTGACTAAAGCGAGCCAATATCTGCCCTTTTTAGTGCAAAGGTTTAGGTCGGAATTGCGCAATATATATTTCGACATTTGAGTTTTGTTTAATTTTTCAATGAATTCAGTTCTCATCATGTTTTTTACAGTTGCGAAGGTAATTGTCTTGTAATTGAAACAATACTTTTTCTCCGTAAACAATTTTTCTTACATCTGAAATTGAAATTGAAGTATATTTATTTGTTAACCTTAGCAGCTTCGTGACTGCTTCGCACTTCGACTGGAGTTCACGCGGTTGCCTCTGTACCGTAAGGTCTAAGGTTCAACTCCCGGCCGTACCTTGTTTGCAATGCTGTGCTTACTTTGTATTGCAAGTATGGGAAGCCCCACTTAGCTCCTGTGTCTAGTATTGACCCAATTTGAGAAAAACACGGTTAAAACTTCCAAATTCCTTTGCAATGAGCGGATAATTTAAAGTAGCTTACTGTGAAAATCAACAAAAAAGTAAGGGAAGTTAGGGTCATTGACATAGGTTAAGAACTGCAAATGAAAGTTATTTAGAAATAGACAGCGTAAAAATTGCAGTAGAAATAAGTAAGACGATTCATCAAATTTGAATTCAGTGTCTTAAAATATCATGAAGTTCTGAATCGCAGAAATATGAAGGCCAATTTTCCCAATGCTGCCACAACTTTTTGGCTTTTCTCTTTGAATCACAATCACGACCATTTGGGGTTGAACCAATATGATACCTTTTTTTGATCACTTGAGATTTCTTTTGGATTGGCTTGCTTCTTTATTTCAAAGAAATCTCAAGTGATCAAAAAAAGGTATCATATTGGTTCAAGCAAGCCAATCCAAAATTTCTTCCCACCACTGAGGATAATTCAATAACTTGAATAACTGAGATAGTTGTTGTTCAATGAAGTTTTTTTAAAATGTACTTCGTTTCTTTGAACAGCGTTAATCCAGCTAAAACCAGGGAAAATAACAAAACAATCAGTTAGTATTTTTTAGAAACTATGATAGAAAAGTCAAAGATTGTCGAAACTTATAGCGAATTCTAAGCGTTAACAAATCTCAATCTGGAATTTTTGGTATATACTTGTCTAAAAAAATCACTGATTTTTTTTGGAGGTAACATTACTGAATGAAGGTGACATTACAAAAAAATCACCGCTTGGAGGTAACTTCCATGCATGATTGCATGATTCGACAAAGGTTTAAAGCTGGAGACTTCTGTTTGCAAATTGGACTTCTTTTGCCTGAACAATAGTAGTGCGCTCTTTTTTTTCAATTTAATTGCTCCATTTCAAAAAAAATTGAGATAATTGACAATCCTATTGAAATTTTTCTTCAATCGTACAGGTAATTTAGTGCCAAGGAATTCCATTTTAAACCTATTTGCTTTTAATTTCAAGTTTGATCTTTTCACCCTCCTTCTTAGCACAAGAAAACCTTTAAAAAATTATTGTTTTAATTTTTTAATTTTGCTATTTTCAAATTGTTTCAAATTATAATTTTTGTCTGAATGCAAAAGCTTGATAGGTTTGATAGAAGAATCCGTAAGATCATAGTCACACTTGCAGTATTTCAAAGTTTTCGATAATTTGAAATGTCGCAGTTTTTGACAAGCAATTTTTATGCGACTAAAAGTTGGCTCATATTTTTTTTGCCGCGTCAAACCTGTAGAAGTTTCAAATTATCCGTCTAGGATTTTGAGGTTAGCTTCCCGAATTACAACAGCTAAGAGTATCGAAAGTTATCTGTTGCTGTATTTTCAAAACTTAATGCATGGTTTTCTTAAACACAAAAAACTCGATAACTGCGGGAGTTTGATCAAAATGATCACTAAAAAAACTAGTTTTGGTTTCAAGTGTTTTTCATGAGATATGTTACATCGCTTGGACATTTTAAGAATGTTGTCAATTTAGTGTTGTGTGTGCGGCCAACCACTTATTTCGTTGAGCGCAAATTATGACTTATGGCAGTCACAGTATAAAAAGCAATGTTAGCAATGGTCTTCGTCGAAAATTGACTACAAAAAAAGTATAATTTTTTTTTCTTTTCTTATTGCAAAATTTTTTTTGAATTTATGCAATTTTTCAAAATAAGACTAAAACTCAAAATTGTGAGTTTTTGAAATTTATTTTGACTCTTTGAAAGCTTTATTGTGAATTATTACTGGACTCATTCCGATGTTTATTTGTGGTAGATTTTTGGTTGACATCAAAATAAGTCTGCCCTCTCATCTTATTTACTTGGAATTAGACAAAAAAAAATTCAAACCAATTTTATCGACCCAGAAAAACTTTAATGTTTTTCGAGCCACGACTGAAAGGGCTTTAATATAAAAGATTGCTCAACCCATTTCAATTATTATTTGTGGTACCTGATTTTCCGTGGAAAACAAAAAAGAAAGAACAAACTTAACATCCGAAAATCAAGTTTCTCCCCATGTTTCAAATGGTCGGAACATTTAACATTTAATTAATTTCAACCCTCAACCCTTATACGAAGTGCAAGAACTACTTTCAGTACTGTTTTCGTCAAGTGAATTCCGGGGCAATGTGCAGGGGCAGATCTAGGACTTTCTCGATGGGGCGGATTTTCAAAAAGTTTTCAAAAATTGTGTCGACCTTCTTTTTAGGTCGAACAAATTGATTTTTTGAGTTCTCCGGAAGCACTAAAAAGTCCTTTTTTCGGCCAATTTTTTTTGCGACGCAGGCAAATTTTTTTTGGAAAAAAGGCAAAAAAAAGCTATTTTTGGAAATTATTGACCAAAAAAACTGCGTTTTTTTTCGGCGCGCACTCACCCCTCAAAATTAGCATATATTGGTGTCAAAGGCGCCTTTATAAAATTTTTAGGGTTCGTCACCAAAAATAGATATTCCACCCCCTCCCCCCTAAATCTTCCCCTGGCAATATGTGAAGTATCTTAAGAGCTAAAAAAAATAACGTGTGCAAGAATACTTTTGAAAGTTTTATGGGAAAAACAGGGGATTAAGAGGGATTATTTGAGCTCTTAAGTGTATACTCTTAGCACATGTTTTTTTGCTTCATATTGCATTGCTCTAGCATTGACTATTTGATTCAGAAAGTTCTTTCGGTATGAAAAACAAATTTCTGCCGACAATTTTTTGAAGACCACGAAGCAAACGTTTTTGAACTCTTTAACACCTTTCGATTCACCAATACAAAAAAACTTTTTTGCGTCGCATTACTCAACTTTCGGCGCAATTTGTTTTGCACCTAGCTTTGTGTGAAAAACTGCAGATGAGTCTCTAATTACTTCCCCCTTTGAGGTCGGAAATTTTGATCTAAATCATGACCCACTACATTTCTGTTCTGGCCACTCCAAAAAAGTTGGAGAGTCCATGAAGAGTCAAATGAGTTATCATGTTGAAACTTTTAAAGTAGTTATTCGGATAACAAAAAATGGT